GTTTGGCCTCAAGATCAATGTGGCATTTAAATCTGGCAACATCATTTTTGGTCCAAATTCATGGCAAAATGGAACCCTCAAACATCTTATATAGACATAGGTCACAATTTCCCATCCCCATAACTCGGTCAAATCTCATCAGATTTTCAAGAGGTTTGGCTTTTTCTCCATGGTTTGGCCTCTAGATCAATTTGGCATCGAAATCTGGCAACATAATTTTTGGTCCAAATTCATGTCAAAATGGAACCCTGAAATATCTTATACAGACATAGGTCAAAATTTCCCACCCCCATAACTCGGTCAAATCTCATCAGATTTTCAAGAGGTTTGGGTTTTTCTTCATGGTTTGGCCTCAAGATCAATGTGGCATTTAAATCTGGCAACATCATTTTTGGTCCAAATTCATGTCAAAATGGAACCCTCAAACATCCTATATAGACATGAGTCAAAATTTCCCACCCCCATAACTCGGTCAAATCTCATCAGATTTTCAAGAGGTTTGGGTTTTTTCTTCATGGTTTGGTCTCTAGATCAATTGGGCATTTAAATCTGGCAACATCATTTTTGGTCCAAATTCATGTCAAAATGGAACCCTCAAACATCTTATATAGACATAGGTCACAATTTCCCATCCCCATAACTCGGTCAAATCTCATCAGATTTTCAAGAGGTTTGGCTTTTTCTCCATGGTTTGGCCTCTAGATCAATTTGGCATTTAAATCTGGCAACATAATTTTTGGTCCAAATTCATGTCAAAATGGAACCCTGAAATATCTTATACAGACATAGGTTAAAATTTCCCACCCCCATAACTCGGTCAAATCTCATCAGATTTTCAAGAGGTTTGGTTTTTTCTTCATGGTTTGGCCTCTAGATCAATTTGGCATCGAAATCTGGCAACATAATTTTTGGTCCAAATTCATGTCAAAATGGAACCCTCAAACATCTTATACAGACATAGGTCAAAATTTCCCATCCCCATAACTCGGTCAAATCTCATCAGATTTTCAAGAGGTTTGGCTTTTTCTCCATGGTTTGGCCTCTAGATCAATTTGGCATTTAAATCTGGCAACATAATTTTTGGTCCAAATTCATGTCAAAATGGAACCCTCAAACATCTTATACAGACATAGGTCAAAATTTCCCATCCCCATAACTCGGTCAAATCTCATCAGATTTTCAAGAGGTTTGGGTTTTTCTTCATGGTTTGGCCTCAAGATCAATGTGGCATTTAAATCTGGCAACATCATTTTTGGTCCAAATTCATGTCAAAATGGAACCCTCAAACATCCTATATAGACATTGGTCAAAATTTCCCACCCCCATAACTCGGTCAAATCTCATCAGATTTTCAAGAGGTTTGGTTTTTTCTTCATGGTTTGGTCTCTAGATCAATTGGGCATTTAAATCTCGCAACATCATTTTTGGTCCAAATTCATGTCAAAATGGAACCCTCAAACATCTTATATAGACATAGGTCACAATTTCCCATCCCCATAACTCGGTCAAACCTCATCAGATTTTCAAGAGGTTTGGCTTTTTCTCCATGGTTTGGCCTCTAGATCAATTTGGCATTTAAATCTGGCAACATAATTTTTGGTCCAAATTCATGTCAAAATGGAACCCTGAAATATCTTATACAGACATAGGTTAAAATTTCCCACCCCCATAACTCGGTCAAATCTCATCAGATTTTCAAGAGGTTTGGTTTTTTCTTCATGGTTTGGCCTCTAGATCAATTTGGCATCTAAATCTGGCAACATAATTTTTGGTCCAAATTCATGTCAAAATGGAACCCTCAAATATCTTATACAGACATAGGTCAAAATTTCCCACCCCCATAACTCGGTCAAATCTCATCAGATTTTCAAGAGGTTTGGCTTGTTCTCCATGGTTTGGCTTCTAGATCAATTTGGCATTTAAATCTGGCAACATCATTTTTGGTCCAAATTCATGTCAAAATGGAACCCTCAAATATCTTATATAGACATAGGTCAAAATTTCCCACCCCCATAACTCGGTCAAATCTCATCAGATTTTCAAGAGGTTTGGCTTTTTCTCCATGGTTTGGCCGCTAGATCAATTTGGCATTTAAATCTGGCAACATAATTTTTGGTCCAAATTCATGTCAAAATGGAACCCTCAAATATCTTATACAGACATAGGTCAAAATTTCCCACCCCCATAACTCGGTCAAATCTCATCAGATTTTCAAGAGGTTTGGCTTGTTCTCCATGGTTTGGCTTCTAGATCAATTTGGCATTTAAATCTGGCAACATCATTTTTGGTCCAAATTCATGTCAAAATGGAACCCTCAAATATCTCATACAGACATAGGTCAAAATTTCCTATCCCCATAACTCTGTCAAATCTCATCAGATTTTCAAGAGGTTTGGCTTTTTCTCCATGGTTTGGCCTCTAGATCAATTTGGCATTTAAGTCTGGCAACATAATTTTTGGTCCAAATTCATGTCAAAATGGAACCCTGAAATATCTTATACAGACATAGGTTAAAATTTCCCACCCCCATAACTCGGTCAAATCTCATCAGATTTTCAAGAGGTTTGGCTTGTTCTCCATGGTTTGGCTTCTAGATCAATTTGGCATTTAAATCTGGCAACATAATTTTTGGTCCAAATTCATGTCAAAATGGAACCCTCAAATATCTCATACAGACATAGATCAAAATTTCCCACCCCCATAACTCGGTCAAATCTCATCAGATTTTCAAGAGGTTTGGTTTTTTCTTCATGGTTTGGCCTCTAGATCAATTGGGCATCTAAATCTGGCAACATCATTTTTGGTCCAAATTCATGTCAAAATGGAACCCTGAAATATCTTATACAGACATAGGTCAAAATTTCCCACCCCCATAACTCGGTCAAATCTCATCAGATTTTCAAGAGGTTTGGTTTTTTCTTCATGGTTTGCCCTTTAGATCAATTTGGCATCTAAATCTGGCAACATCATTTTAGGTCCAAATTCATGTCAAAATGGTACCCTCAAATATCTTATACAGACATAGGTCAAAATTTCCCACCCCCATAACTCGGTCAAATCTAATCAGATTTTCAAGAGGTTTGGTTTTTTCTTCATGGTTTGGCCTCTAGATCAATTTGGCATCTAAATCTGGCAACATAATTTTTGGTCCAAATTCATGTCAAAATGGAACCCTCAAATATCTCATACAGACATAGATCAAAATTTCCCACCCCCATAACTCGGTCAAATCTCATCAGATTTTCAAGAGGTTTGGTTTTTTCTTCATGGTTTGGCCTCTAGATCAATTGGGCATCTAAATCTGGCAACATCATTTTTGGTCCAAATTCATGTCAAAATGGAACCCTCAAATATCTTATATAGACATAGGCCAAAATTTCCCACCCCCATAACTCGGTCAAATCTCATCAGATTTTCAAGAGGTTTGGCTTTTTCTCCATGGTTTGGCCTCTAGATCAATTTGGCATTTAAATCTGGCAACATAATTTTTGGTCCAAATTCATGTCAAAATGGAACCCTCAAATATCTTATATAGACATAGGTCAAAATTTCCCACCCCCATAACTCGGTCAAATCTCATCAGATTTTCAATAGGTTTGGCTTTTTCTCCATGGTTTGGCCTCTAGATCAATTTGGCATTTAAAACTGGCAACATCATTTTTGGTCCAAATTCATGTCAAAATGGAACCCTCAAATATCTTATATAGACATAGGTCAAAATTTCCCACCCCCATAACTCGGTCAAATCTCATCAGATTTTCAAGAGGTTTGGTTTTTTCTTCATGGTTTGGCTTCTAGATCAATTTGGCATTTAAATCTGGCAACATCATTTTCGGTCCAAATTCATGTCAAAATGGAACCCTCAAACATCTTATATAGACATAGGTCAAAATTTGTTTATTTTTTCTTTGTTAACGATGTGCCGCTCAATTTGGCATCTAATTCTGGCAATATTGTTATTGGTTAAAATTCATATGAAAAAGATACCTTAAAATATCCTATATGGACATAGGTCATAATAATATTATATATCTTTTCCGAAACTCTTCGAATAGTTGCTTCATTCGGCTTCTAATATTAAAGCAAATAATTTTATACATCAGATTACTATATCATGGATTATCTTATAGGAAAAATCCAACAGAATTCACTCGTAAATTACATTAAAAACATATTTTAAAAGATTACAATATTATATTGTACATACGTCTTATATGGGCAAAGCTGTTCAAGATTTCAGCAGTCTGTTTCCAGTTCCTCAAGTTGCACGCACACTTTATATGCCACATGCAATCTACTATAGGATTCCTCTAACCTATTCAAAATATGCAGTTCAGTTCATAAATAACTTTTCATTAAAGAAGGCCAACTGCATGGCCAGCTCTGCATTTGGCATGATTGTTTTCGGTTCATTAGTCAACAGCTGTCAGCTGCAAATGCATGGAAATCTAATGAACTATCCATCAATTGAGCATAAGCCAAGCGCATGAAACGCAACCACATTCAGAGATCTTTGTGCAGTTAAAGTGCATTTCGGAACTGGTTGTCCAGCGGATACCAGTTGGGTTTGCTTGATGTGGCATTCATTGCAGCTGGAGCCCGAGCAACTATTCAAAATGAAATGAAAATTCATTTGGCGCTCCACAAAATAGCTTTTCAATTTCATTTTCATACGACCGCCCCCTCCATGGAACTGGCACTGTCCGGCTTAGAAAAACAGCTTGTCAGCATCATTTTTCGATTTGCATGCAGATTCCTTTGTGGCCAGCTGCGATGCCAATTGCAGCATATTTAATTGCACCTGCCACCTGAACATATGTTTTGACCCCGTCTTGCCACCATTAGCTGCAGCATTTTTTGACATGTGTTTGAACTCTGACTTTGCAAACTTTTCAAATGTCTGGACCAGAGAGCATTTTATTTGGTCCGCCAGCGCCTGAACTTGTGAAATCAGTCTCGTTTAACTTTTACCATTGGTGCTTGGTCTCTGTGTTACATAGGTCATAACTGCCAGCGATTCGGCGCCGCGTGCACTGAAGGATTTGCGGAATCGGTGCCTTAATCCGGGCAAATACGCACAGCATCTGGAGCACTGGCTGGCCTACTATCCCGCCCAGCAGGTGCATATAATCGATGGCGAGCAATTGCGCCTCAATCCCATCGATGTGATGAACGAGCTGCAGCGCTTTTTGAAAATCCAACCGCTCCTCGACTATTCCAATCACCTGCGCTACGATGTGAAGAAGGGCTTCTACTGCCAGGCTGTCAGCGAGAAGCGCAATAAATGCCTTGGCAAGTCCAAGGGGCGCCAATACCCGCAAATGGATGAGCGCAGTGCCAAGCTGTTGCAGCGGTGAGTAAAAACCTGAAACTACTCTACAAAAAAATATAGAAACAAAAAAAAAAGGAGAATGAAAAACGGGTCGTATGAGTGATTTGGGTTGGTTTTGGGGCGACAGACAGATGACGACGACGGCGACGTTGGCAACTATGCTTTGAGTGAAGGATTAATGAACACACTCACACACACTTACATGAGTGGGCATGGTAGATAGCATAGTTTTGTGAATTGTGCCGAGTTTGGGTTACAGCAGGGCAGCAGGATGGAGGGCCAGCGGGCAGGCCGGCAGGTTTCTGTATGGCATTTTGCGGCCGTGGAAAGTGCACTTTACTGTTCTACGATTTCGGATGCCAGCTGTCAGTTGAGCCGCGCGGCGTGAGCCCTTTTATATTCAGTGATTCCAGGAGCTAAACGAAGCTGTTTTTTTATTAGACATCTCACAATGAACCGAATATGGAGCATAAAATATGAAAAGCAACTCGAAGCACTTGATGCAGCAGCTTAGGCAAGTTCATTAGACTGCCTGACTGACTGACTGATGATGTGGCAGATTACGAGATGCAGCAATTGCAGTTAAAGCCTATCTATAAAAGGTTGGCAGAAAACCAGATTCGTTGGATTGAAAATTGAGGTTAGCTTATTAAAAAATAGCTGTGATATTTTTGATGCTCATTTTCTTTTAACTCAGAGCTCACATTGCAGAAAAACAAAACTTAAACTCATTTAAAATACAAAAACAATACATTGAAAAGTTAACAAGGATTGCTTACAATTCGCATTTCCAATTGGAATATAACTAAGAACAAAAAAATAAACGTTGCCAGACTACAATTTCAAAGCGGACTGGCAAGGATTTGAGTGGAAGACACATAAATTCCCAAACTTCCAGTTATTTTTACAAAAAAAATATATTTGGGCACACTTGACTTTTTTCACTTGACTTTTTTAAAAGGGGCCGAATAACAAACAAAGCAAATCAAACTTTTAAATCTGGAAAACGCAGTCGTCGAATTTGAATTTCTAATTTTAAGCTGCCGCATTTTAAAACTTATCTTTCTCTCGCTCTTTCTCTCTCTCACTTTATTCCTCTCCCCCGCCCCGCCGGTACAGCTACTATCTGAATCACAATACGGCGCTGGAGAAGCTGTTGAAGAAGCTCGGCTCACGTCCCATACCGCAATGGCTCAAGGATGATTTGTCCACGGGCACGTGATAGCAGCTATTTGGAGGCGTGGCCATTGGCGCTGTCGAACTTGGAATTGGCTTAGGAATTGGAATCGGCGGCAACAAATATCGCAAATTGCGTGCTAAACTCAGGAAACAGTTGCACTGGCTGCAAATGGCGGCGGCAACGGCGCCAGCAGCGACGTCTGTAACTATGCAGCATGGTCGAGCAAGCAGCGCAGCAGCAGCAGCAGCAGGCAGCGACAAAAGCAGCAGCAGAGGCGGCGGCAGCAGCAGCAGCAGCGACAGCAACTGGCAGAGCCGTAAAACGAAACAAAAGCAAAAGCAAAAACAAAAACAACATAATTAGCCGCTTTGAATATGCATAAATCTTGTTTATTGTTGTTGTTGCAGCTATTTAATGATGTCGCTGCAGTTGTCAGTTGAATATAAAAACAGTTAACTAGCGTATGTCTGACTGTGTGTGTGTGTGTGTGTGTGTGTATAGGTGTGCGTAATGTTGTGTAAATAGTATAATGAAATGTTTGTATGTCTGTGTGTGCTTGTGTGTGTGTGTGTGTGTGTGTGTCTGCGCTGTCTGCGCATTGTAATCTATACCAAAAGCATCATGAATAAATGCATAAATGCATTCATGAGCTTTGTTAGTTGTTTAAATGTTTTAAAAAAAAATAATAGAAATGACAAAAAATATAATTATTAAATGCAAGAAGTATGTTAAATCCATAAAAATCACAGCCAATTGTAGCGGTAATTATGCGTCCAATTAACTCTGACTTGATTCATTTCGTTATTACCTCAAAACTGTTTATGTAAACTTTTATCAAAGACTCCGAAAACACAATACAATTGCAGAAATAACTGAATAACTATAATTATTTATGTTTTCAACAATTTTTATACTAATTGATTAACATTTTAATCCATGCCAAAACTGTAAAGCCTGTCTCTGCAGTTGCGAGTGCTATACATATGTTACATATATAGATATATATATATATATATATATATAGTATATATAAATAAGGCTGCTATATGTTTTAAGTGTATTATAAATGTTTTTAGCGTACAAAATGCGAACGCAGCGAACGACAAGAGAAATGCTTAAAAGAAACCTTCTAGTTGTATGATTAAAGCACTAAGCAAAGCTCTATATAGTATATATATTGTATAGTTGGATACATATATATATAAACTAGTTCAAGTTTAGATTCGTAATGCGACAATAATAAAAGCGAAAATTTAAATGCAACCGCAAATATTGTGTTTTTTGAAAAACCGTTGGCAGCTTTCCTATTTGAAGTAATCACCCTGTTCAGCCTGTACACGCACCAGGTGTGTGTCTTTAGTAAACTTTCTGACGGTGCCACATTGGACACTGTAGAAGTGTCCGTGTAAACAAACCGCCTACTTAACGATAATACTCACTTAACGAATATGTTGTTTAACAGTATGCTCACGAAGAGTAATGTTAACTCCACCTTTCTGTTAACATACAAATTGCTTATTTAATACCTTAATGAGTCTGCGAAAACTAATATTTCAACAGGTATCCCACACAATATATAACAGTTGACTTTTAGGAGATTTTCGAATTTTTGCTAGGCGAGGGTATTTCGAAAAATGTATGTGCATACCAGCCAGCGCCGTTTAACAGACCAGCCAGATCAGCTGTTACCGAATTTTCGAACTGGCTGCTTGCGTTTGCGCCAAAAGGGGTCCAACAGCCAGATTGGATTTTAACAGCAGTCTGTTATCAAACTTTCACGCGCGCGGTTCGGCTACGGCGTTGGCGTGTTGCCTTTGCTTTCTTTAGAAATTAAGCATTATATTTAGAATTTCAATTAAATTTATAAATTTGTTGCACAACGTGCAACAAGAGCTTTCGAAAAAGCCGCCGCCATTGCCGCCATCACGTGTGTTCTGTGTCGCCGCTGCCAGTCCAAAGCTCGAGTGCCAACTGCAGAGCTCGCTGATGGAAAAAGGCACAGCTCAACAGCCCAATTAAATATGAATATAAAATAAAATAACGCAGTTAATATCAATAGCTAAGGCATCTTCGCTTATCGTTCGGTTTAGTGCGAAACATGTGCCGCGTCTAGTTTTCCCGTGATTAGCAAAAAAAAAAAAGAAAAGAGCGAAAAAAACCGGTAAATTTCTATTCTTTGCGCATTGTCTGATTCTCGTCTTTCCACCTTTTTGGCGCCGCCTTTTGCTGTTGTTGTTGCTGTTAGTTGCTGTTACTGTTGTTGTTGCTGTTGCTGTTACTGTTGTTGTGGCACTGTTGCATTTTGTTTAACATATAACAAAAGAATTTTTGTTCTCAATTTAATGTCAGTTTGCCTAGTGCCTTTGCCTAGCAGCAACATTTATAATTTACTTTTTTTTGTTTGAAATTTTCGGATAAACTAAATTTCGGTTTTATTAAAGGCCGAACCGAATATTTTGCAAATTTTATAATTGACTCTTTTTGGCAACTCCAAATTATACAATTTTAAGATGAGCATCGATATTTCGTGGCTCTGAATGATAATTGAGTGCAGCAAAAAAGTTTTTGCTAAAACAACAACAACAACAATACCGACACCGACGACAGCAAGGTTCTTAGTCATTGCCCGGCTTGTATATCCCCCCCTCCGCCTTGCCTATGCTTTTAGCAGTGCATCGTCTATTGTGAATCATAATTTGTGAATCGTTTTGTTGTTACTGCTGTGATCTCGCGCCAGTTCCAGCTCCGGCCGCCGCACAATGTCCAAACACGGTGCCGTTATCTTGAGCAGCCTTCGCCAGCTCCTGCGCCGCTCCAATGTGCGTCAGTTCGAATGCTGCGGCAAGCGTCTGACGCCGGTGACCACGACTCTCGCAACGTTGGTAAGTGAAACGTCCTATAAATACGCGCGCACACACACACACACACATGTGTGTATACATGTATGTATGTTTATTAAGGCATCGCTCGTGGCGCTCCGGGGGAGCAGCTGACGGCCGCCGGCTGCCGGCGACTATTGGAATTTATAAAAATAAAATACACACTTGTTCTTTGACTTCGCTAAAAGCAGCGACAAAAGTATAACATGCATACGTATATATGTAAACATGCCTATGTATATACACATACATTCATATGTACATAATACGACATGCGTGAGTTCTTAAACGCATGTGGGCACATTAAAAAAATTATTTAAATTTATGCGAAAGCAGAAACATGCAAGCAAAAACAAAATATACTTACACATACTACATACACACATACATACATGCATATGTACATACACTTATACATTCTATTATGTTTTTCTGTGCTCTTTTATTGCCTGCCTTTTCTTACATGCTTCCTTTTGTTGTTGCTGTTTGCTTACTTTTTGCACACACCAAAGCCGCGTCGTCAACTTTGATGCTCTCCCGCTCTTCGTGTCTCTCACTCTCGCGCTTTATCTCTCTAATGTTGTCCAGAACTTCAATTAAAGTTCACTCTCATTGAGTCACACAGAGAGCACAGGTAATGTTAAGTTACATTTGTGTTTGTACATATGTGTGTATGTATGTAATCCTGGCTTGCCACCCCTCAGCGTTAGAGTGTGAGTGTGTTTGTTGTTGTGCCAGTCATGCAAAAGCATTTAATTAAAATTGAGTGCGATCGGTTTTAAATTGTTGAACTTCCACGCACGCTTGCACTGCTCAGTGACGCCCAAACTGTGCGAACTCGTTGGAATTGTTGCTCTCGGCCTCTCTCTTATCTTCTCGAATTTAACCAGTCGCTTGTGAATCATCTGCTGACCCCTAAGAGACCCTATCGGCATTTGCACATAACTGCTTCGGCTTTTTGGGCATGTGACAGCTTTATCAGCATGCTCGTCTCAGGTGAGACAATTAACGACCCACGCAACGAAAGGCACAGGAAAAGCAAGTGTAGAATAAAATTATTTACGTACAATGTCCAAAACATGTTCTTTTATGGCAAACACGATTTGCATACGAAATGATAAAATTTGTCGATATTTGTTTGAGCATCGAGCGAAAGACACACACACACAGAGGGAGAGAGAGAGAGAGAGAGAGAGAGAGAGAGAGAGAGAGAGAGAGAGAGAGAGAGAGGAGAGAGCACATGAGTAGCGCCAGCTTTTATTTGTCTTACCAATGTAAATGGGAGCGGGAGCGGCAAATGCAAACAAGACCCAAACAAAACAAAATGTTGACAAAAAGTGTCAGACACAGTACTGTAAAAAAAAAGTTTTTATCAGCTGGGCGTTTGTGGGTCGAGGGTTCGAGGGGCCGAGGAGGTGCTTGGTCGAATGGCACCCTGTCAACGTTATTTGATACTCGCAAGAGATATAACGGCACATTATTTGCATTATAGCGTGTTATTCTTGTGCCGTGACACATGTTGTTGTTGTTGTTGTTGTTTCTGTTGTTTTTGGCACTTCATTTGCATGTGTTTTGCGCTCAGAGAAGCTGATTAGAGTCAACAAAGCCAAAGCAGTACTGACATTGATTGCACTGCACACACACACACACACACACACACACACACACACACACACACAGACAAGCGAGTTTAAAAAAAAAATCAGCACAGGGTGTCGCTAGATTTTTCGCTGGCATCCTCATTGCGGCTGTCATAATTTAGCTTCGGCACGTTCTTGGTCCACTTCGCATCCGCTCTTCCACTCACGTTTTAGTCTCTGTCCCAAATTGTAACTAAAGTTTGTTTGCTTGTTCGTTATTTTTTTTCTTTCTGTATTTATGTTCGAATAGCATAAAAAAAGTTTTATTGGCGCCATTCGGTCTGCCGCACAACACAAAATGTGTGTTAGAGTGGACCCCTCATATGAGAATACCCCCCCTTTCCCATTCCCCTTTCTAACACTGCATGGATTTTGTTCAGTGTGTGCATTGTTGCTTGTTATTGGTCCATTTGTTGTCCTATTCGTTGTCATGGGGGGCTGTTTGGGGCGTGGCAGATGCGGTTATGGCCTTGGTCAACAATTATTTTCGGCTCTGCCGTAAATAAATTTTGCTAACAAAAACCCAATGCAATTGTTATATGATTAAGGCAAAACTATACACAGATTGCACAAGTGTGTGCATGTGTGAGTCTGGATGTCCGGCATGTATCCTCTTGCAAAAATATAAAAGTCAAGTTGAACAACAACAACAAAAACAACAACAACAAAGCAACAAATTTATGCAAATGACATTCAAACAACCGAACCGGTTTATTGTTTGGTATTCATTTGCACTTGATTTTTATGTGCGCCTAATAAATGACACTCGAAAGCTATCAGATCTATTGAAGCATGCCGCACATGCTGCACACAACAATAAGTATACTTATATACTATAGCTACAGCTGATATTAGTCGGTTAATATAAGTATTAAGCTAGTGTGGAGTACAGATGATAATTGTCAGCTAATATAACTGTTAAGCTTTTTGGCTTATAGAGCTTTTCGTGTGTTACTAGAGATATCGAACGTGAGAGCAGCAGCAAAGCTTTAGTAACGCTCACTTTAATATTACATAACACTTATATTAGTATACTTCTCAGATATATCATATATAATCTTAGTTATAATATGCTCTCTATGCTCTTAGCGAGAAATCTATTACAAGCAGGACGATTATGATTATAATGCTTAAGAGACACTTTATGCTCTATACCCATTGAAAGTTGGTAAAAGGGGTATATTGTTTTTATGAATATGTACGTCACAGACAAATGAAAACATCTTCGATTCCATTAGATATATATATATATATTTTTTTTCTCAGCAGAATCTGCCGACTCGATCTAGCCATGTCTTTCCGTCTGTAAATAATCTTTCGTATAGTATATACAAATACAAATAATTTCACTTTATGAATACCTCTTCCGTTCTCAACTCAAATAGAATGTTTATAACGGGTTCTCAGTGCGTGTTTAGGGTATCTCCTAGTCGGGCACTGCCGACAAGCGCACTCTTGCTTGTTTTTTGTTGGGCAAGAAAGCCAAAACATTTAAAAATTTGCTGTCAGCTGCAACCGACTACGCAATACTCTGTTCGCAGTGTATGAATATAGCTAAAGACAATATTGAATCTATGTAAAACTTGATAAAGTTTGTTAAAACTCATCTCTAACTTCAAGCTGCATAGAAAAATAGAACAGACTGACAGCAAGACACAATCACAATATACTCGCTTTCAGCTTGTGCACAGAGTGTAGAAAAATTATTACTTTTTCTCTTTTAAAGGGAAACCAGATAAAAGTTTAGCCACATTTCCCGTTTCTTACTAAATTCTAATTATTGTCGCTTGCAATTGCTTGATATCTCCGCCTATCGCATTCTACTTACTTAGAAAACTATTTATCTATGAGATACGCAGCTCTTTTAAGTTGCCGTCAGACAAACCACGATTGGATATTTGCAGAGCTATTATCGTCTGCTGGCAAAGTTGAAGTTTGCTTTAGACTGAAATCCTTCTGTGTGCTTCTCAAACATTGCAGCCAGTTGTTGTGGATTGACCAATTGACAAATTCCTCACTGCAGTTGACTGCAACCTTTCGTAATCTAGAGCAAAGCGAGATGTGGCCATTGTTTTGATCTTCAACTTTCTGTTTAATGGCCAAACTTAAAGCTTAACTGTCAGCAGAGGCAGAGGTGTAGAGACTCAACCCCTTCACTTGTGAATGCTTCGGCTTAATCCGTTCACAAACAGCCAACGCAGCAAATCTGCATATTATACAAGCTATCTAGTAGTTACCCCACTTCGAATGCTCTCCCGGTTATCCAACCAGCCTCAAACAGTTTGCTTGGCAGCTTGTGCACGTTTTCCCACATTTATCGTGACGCGCAAATCTTGCAGCTAGCTGAAAATACAAGCCCCAAAACCAAAGGCAAATTCTGTGACAGCAGCTGCAAGCATATACTAGCTATGTATCTAGAAGGCAGAATATATAGATACATATACTATATGCTGCACTTATAATTAACGTTAACCAAACTTATCTGGCCCCCTGCATGGAGGGGAAGGGGCCTGATACTAAAGTTGTTCGACATTTAAAGGCTCATTAGAGCTTGTCGCTTCATCAGCAAAGTTACATTTGTTGTCAAATGTGGGTAAATATATCTGACAGATACGTGTCCAACTTGAACTATTTGTACAAGAGTGTGTCTGCTTGTCTGTGAGTGTGTCTGCCATTTCAATTTACCTTTCGACCTATTGGTTAAGCTTAGTTTAGCTTAGTTTAGCCTTGCGTGTTATTGCTTTGCACTTGACTTTCGCTGCGCTGGCAAACGCCCCAACCCCAGCCACATCAAGCACCGCAACTTGTGCGTATATTTGTTTAAACACCCGCATGATAGGTCGTTCAGTTTTCTCGCCCCGCACTCCGATAACTATTGGCTTTGCCACTTGCTTTGTTTGAGCTGCCCCTCGTCGCAAATGTTACCCCTGCCAGCGATAGCCATAAAAAGAAATGTTCAACTAACTGCAGCTGTATGTGGTATCTGCTAGATACAAGCGCAGTGCTTGCTAAACTGTAAATAGTTTTACAGTGGATTTTTATTGTATTCGCTTGGCATTATCAGCTGCTTCTGATAAGTGCTATCAGCACTTGCTGTCCCAGTGGAACTCGTGAATGTTGTATGCTTAGCAAATGCAAATAATTAAACTTATGAATTCATCGCAATTGAATTTGTGCGCTTTGAGATTGACCAGCGCCATAAAACATTTTAATGCCATGCATAATTTATGCCCATTCACAAATGGCCCTCCATTCACAAATGGAGCTCCCTTTGAGCATTGCGAGCATAGCCCCAGCTTGTTGAATTTGGGCTCAGATTTAAAGTCAATTTATTGGTTCGGTGCTGCTAATGCTTTGGCCATA